ACCCTTTATACGTCTTTCTATTTAATACTTTCCGGTTTGAAAAGTACATTGTAGGTTCATCCTCTCCATTAGTACTACACACCTCTCTAGTGTCCCCTATAAAACGTTTTCCTTGAGTGAACTGGGTATCAACCCGTTGGCATCCTGGCTGCTAGGTTCTTGGAAATGTTTCAGTACACGCTGAATAGTACCCGATCAGTACCCATCAGTGCACTTATCCTCTGGTCACAGAATATTGCTATCGGTCGTCGTTGGGGCACTAGTCCTCTAGTAAGTAGCTTCTGTCAGCCGCTGTCGCACTCACCCGATGCCATGTAGTTTTTATTTCCTGTCCGCCCCAAAGAAATATTGCAAGATTGTCTCCCTGTTCCGACAAGTGTATTTACTCAATGAGAAGCTTAATGTATCTTGCTGGTCTAGTTCTCGGCTAGTCTAAGAAGATCGTGCGAACTTCTGGGCTTTCCTCAGCTGTTTGATTCCCCCTCCCAACAGGCCTCAATAAAGCAGTTCGGTGTGAGACCGCTCTATAAATGTGTTGTCTTAGTTAAGCCGACCATCCAGTAGGGACACAGTGGAATCCCCAAGGCAGAAAGCGGCATCCAGGCTGTGTGGCCGTGGAAAACCGCGTTTCCGACGGATTTTTCAGAACGCAAGTGTTTCAATGCTCGTCGACTGAAACCGTGCGCAAAGGAGGAGGAGGGCATTCGTATGTTGCTCCAGAGCTGGTCGGCCTGAAAATCGGATAACAGAACTCTTCAGCTTGCCTATATCCACTACCCCAGAAATCTACCTAGCCGCGCCAACTGCAAATATCGCTTTCAGATGGCTGCAGGGTGGTGATTCATGCGGAGTTGCGGACCTGCGCACCAACTATGACAAATTGTAGCGGGGCTGGACCTTTCTGTTGATCGTGCTACTGCTGCCGCTGCTACGGCTGCGGGTCGGACCTTTTCTTCCGACCGGTAAAGTCAACTGGCACAGTTGGCTCGCAAATAGGCGCCAG